CTGTGTTGGAAAAATTATCTTTCCCTCAAACTCCACCTTCTTTGAAGCACCATCAATTTGTTTGACTTCTTCAACTATTACCTTATTTGTCAAGGCAGATTCATCAAAGGTAATATCCCTGCTGAAAATAACTTTTCTTGTCTCTGGACACCATAAACGGTATCCTTTGACTCCAGAAGTGATTCCCATAAATAAAGCTTTCTTTGCTCTTGGGTCCAATTTGGACTCTCTTACATGATAATATGCAATTGAGCCAAATACATATAAAGAACCATAATCTTCAGCAGCTTTTCCATACCATTTGTCAAATGGTGTTTTTCCACCAATAGCAGCAAATGGTAGAGGATTAGTGAGGTGGCATGCATATGTTATTGCCTCAGCCCAAAATTCTTTGCCCATGCCAGCATTGGACAACATACACCGAACCTTCTCCAGCAAAGTTCGGTTCATGTGTTCTGCCACTCCATTCTGTTGTGGTGTATTTCTGACGGTGAAATGTCTGACGATGCCATTTTCCTCATAATTTTTATGAAAAAGATCATTCTTGTATTCTCCACCATTGTCTGTGCAAAGACACTTGATCTTTATGCCACTTTGAGTTTCTATCATCACCTTGCATTTGAGAAAAATTCCCAATATTTCATTTTTTTCATCGTAAACACCCACAATCTTCGAGAAAAGTCATCAACAAAGGTTACAAAATAGTGTTCCCACCTAATAAAGGTGTTTTGTAAGCACCCCAAACATTTGAATGAACATTATCCAAAATACCTTTAGTATTATGGATAGCTATTCCACGTTTAACCCTTGTTTGCTTTCCCTTGACAAAATGCTCGCGAAACTCCAAGTTGAAAGTTTTTACTCCTTTTAGCAATCCTTGATCTGATAAAGTTTTCAAGGATTTTCCTCCAGCATGTCCCAAGCGCATATGCCACAGCTTGGTCATTTCCGCCTCTTGTCGTCATTGATGTTGTTTCCGTTGTCCCAATAACTGTACTACCTTGATAATGGCACATGTTGTTATTTCACCTAATTTCCTTCATTACCACGAGTGCACCAAAGCATATTCTCATCACGCCATTATCTGCAATGACTTTGAACCTCTTTGACTCTAAGGCTCCAACAGAAATGAGATTTTTCTTCAAATTTGTACATATCGAACATTTGTTAATGTTCTAATTAATCCATCATGGCTCCTTAATCGGATTGAACCAACACCATGTGCGGTAAGAGGATTATTTTTTTGCAGTGTGAATAACTCCACATTCTCCTTCTTGTAAATAAATAAACCAGTACCGATTCGGACACATATGATGGCTACAAGTTGAGTCCATCAACTATACATCAAATGATTTGGATAGATCTGTTGTAACTAGTGAATAATCAGAGTCATCACAATCAACCATATTTGGATCCATGAAAGCCTTCCCATTATTTGGTTTGGCTTTGCTGTTCAACTTTGGGCAGTCTTTCTTCCAATGCTCTTTTTCTCGGCAAAAGACAAATTCATCTTTGCCGAGTCTGGATCTTGACTTGGATATCCTTTTCTTCTTTCTCATATGATTTTGAGAACGACCTCTCACAGTCAGTGCTTCTGCTTCTCCGCCTTTTTGTTTTTTTCTCTTTCTTTGTTCATAACTATATAAGGCAGAACAAACTTCTTTGAGAGATAATTCATCATTCCCATGCACTAGAGTCATTTCAAGATGCCCAAACTCATAGGGAAGTGAACTTAACAACATTAAGGCCATATCTCCATTCGTAAAAGTCACGTCCATATTCCACAAATATGTTGCCAACTTATTAAAGCTGGTGATATGATCATTCATTGTTCTACCAGGAATATAAGTGAAGCGTAGCTATCTTCTTTTCATGTAAAACTTATTTTGATTGTTTTTCTTCAAGAATTTCTCCTCCAATGAATTTCATAATTTATTCGCAGATGTTTTCTTCGTGTATGGATACTTTTGTTCTCTTGCAAGGTAAGATTGAATGGTACCGCAAGCAACACGGTTGATAATCTTCCAATATTTTTCTCCTACACCATCTAGTTTCTTTTCTTCTATGGAAATATCTAGTCCTTGTTGAAAAAGAACATCAAGGACCTCGCCTTGCCACATTCCAAAATGTCCTGACCCGTCAAAAATTTCAATTGCAAATTTCGCATTTGACACAATTCCTATCATAAGCGAAGATGCCAATGATGCGTATTGTTGACACTCGATGTGGACTCATCATTTTCTTGTCTCCCATTTTACTACAAATACTATTTACTAGCTAACAATGCAAGAACCAAAGTAAATCTTTTTTTGAGCAACCACAGAGCATACTCAGATAATACTTTGGCTCTGATACCAACTTTTGCGGAAGCCGAATATATAGAGTGATGGAATCACAACTGCTATATCTTAAGGTAGATTATTAATAGTAAATGAGACAAAAAAAAGAATCACCAGGAATTAACGAGATTCGACAAACTTTTCTTTTCTTTTGCCTACTCCTCGGACACAACCAACCAATATTTATTTCACTCCAAAAGAGTATAAGTGAAATACTACAAGAGAGAAAGAAGAAGAAATGTCTTAGGAGATAACAAGGCAAGTGAGAGATGTGTTACAAATAAATTAGGAGCTACCTATTTATAGGAGTGAATCCTTCCTATTGATGTCATCACAATATGTCAAAATGTCAAAATTTACCTTGTGATACCAATTTATGGTTCACCTAAATTTCACCTACAAAAAGTGCTATCTTGACTTTTCTATTAAAAAAGAATTATCCTCCTAACTACCATATTTTCTCATTAATCCATTTTTGAATCTTGTCAAATTTAACAGAAGCAACCATGGTTGCTATTCACGCCATATACCGCTTGAAAAATAAAGAGAGAGAAGAGAGTTTTTGGATTTAGGGTTCTCAATATTTGAACTTGGTATCAGAGCCATCGGCAAATCAGATGCTTCTAACTCTACCCCGATTATCATTCAATATGAAAATTCCTCTTTGAATGCAAGAATTATTCTAAATAGAACAAATTATGATGTGTAGTCTCAAATAATAGAGATGAATATAGATAAAACAGAGAAACTTTCGTTTCTTCGTGGGAATACACAACCACCTACTGAAAAAGATGAACGATATGAGAAATGGTACAAAGACAATCAAAAGGTTAAGAGGTGATTTTTTGGTAGGACTAGATACCCATTGAGCCATTTTTTTTGTCTAATAATCATTTGTTGGGATAGAATAAGTCATTTGTAAATCAATTATCTGTTGTATCTATTTCTAACAATGTGCAGGAAGCCTTAACTGATCGCAAGTGGAAAGCATCTATGGATGAAGAGATGAAATCATTGGAAATAAATGATACATGGGAACTTGTCGATTGTCCACCAGGAAAGAAAATAGTTGGATGTCGATGTGTGTATACAGTCAAGTATAAAGCAGATGGTATAATAGAACGATTCAAAACGAGGTTGGTGGCTAAGGAATATACTCAGACTTATGAAATCGACTATACCGAAACATTTGCACCTATTGCAAAAATCAACACAGTTTGAGTGCTATTATCCTTGGCTGCAAATTTTGATTGGCCACTACAACAACTTGATGGGAAAAATGCTTTTATACATGGTGAGTTGTCTGAAGAAGTATATATGGACTGTCATTCAGGGTACGGGATACCTAGATCACATGATCATAAAGTATATGCATATTGAAGAAATCACTTTATGGACTGAAACAATCATCAAGAGCGTGGTTTGGAAAATTTACCAAATCTATGAAGGCATTTGGCTATACTCAAAGAAACACCAATCACACTTTGTTCTTGAAGAGACAACAAGGTAAAATTACTGCCCTTATTGTATATGTTGATGACAGGACCTTGGTCCATTAAAGTTTTTCCTTGGAATTGAAGTGTCTAGATCATCTAAATGAATTTTCTTATCCCAAAGAAAGTACAGTTTAGATTTGTTAAAGGAAACTCGCATGACAACTTGTCAACCAGCTGATACACATGTTGAAGAAGGCTTGAAATTAAGTGTTGAACATGATGAAATCCCAGTTGATAAAGGAAGATATCAGAGATTTGTAGGAAGATTGATGTACCTAGCACGCACAAGACCACAGCTTGCTAATTCTTTAAGTGTGGTAAGTCAATTTATGCATAATCCAGGAGACCAACATATGGACACAATTTTGTGCATCTTGAAATATTAGAAGTCTGGTCCAGCAAAGGGAATTTTGCTCACAAAATGTAGATATACTCTAGTAATAAATGTATATACGGATGCTGACTGGGCTGGTGATATTGATGACACACAGTCTACTTCAGATATTTCACTTTTGTGGGAGGAAATATTGTTACACGGAGAAGCAAAAAACAAAATGTTAGTTGTTGCTCTAGTGCAGAGGCGAAATTCAGAGGAATGACACTTGGAATATGTGAAGCATTATGGTTGAGACTTCTCTTAACAGTTTTGGGTTATCCACCTAAGGCACCAATCCAACTATATTGTGATAATAAGGCTGCACGTGATATTGCACACAATCCGGTACAACACGATTGTACCAAACACATGTAGAAGTAGACAGGTTTTTCATCAAGGAAAATTTGAAAGATATTAGAGTTACCCAAGATTCGATCGGAGGACCAATTGACTGATCTTCTTACTAAAGCAGTTTCGAGTAAAATGTTCTCCAAGTCTCGGAGCAAGTTGGGCATGTTTGACATCTATGCACCAACTAATTGAGGGGGAGTGTAGAGATATTTTTAGGACTTATAGAGATATTCTGTTATCTTTTAATATAGGAACTCGATTTTGGTAATCTTTGTAAAATAGGAAGATATTAGTTCTTTCCGTATATTGTAACTTAGTTGTAGTTATATAATCATGTACATGCCTCCATTAAAAAAATAACAGAATACATAAAAGAAATATTTTGTTCAAGATTTGAACCATTAGATCAATTATCAAAATAAGAAATTAGATTGAAACCTGTTCTTTCCCAGAAATTGGCATGGTTCCAGAATCTGCTGAAGCTTTTCTTTTCATCTCGATGATGATATAAATCAAGCACAACCAAGTCGTAGAACACAACTTGAACACAAGATCACACTCCTCTAGTAGCACCTTGCAACCAAATTCGCAAAAATATTAATACAATACGAAAGTAGAGAAAAACAAAATTCACATTCATACTCACAAGAAAAAAACATGAAAGAATTATAATCAAACCTCAAAACAGCCGATCTAAATTACTGGAATTCGGAGAAAATCATCAGAGTTCTGCAAAATAGACATAAAAATCTTACCATTACCAGTAAATTCAACTAGGTTCGGATTGAGGCATAGTTGATTAATTGATTGAACATATATAAATCCTATTTCAGGTAACTACAAAACCCGTAATTTTCACTCATCAGATCCTATATCAGGTAAAAATCCGAAAATTCAAGAACAAAAAGCAAAACTTCACCTGAAAAGAAACATCAAAAACACCCCAAATAAAAAGGAACAATTGAATGACACATAGATATAAATATATATATACACATAGGAATCAAACGAGAACCTTTTTCGCTGTTCTTAAACAGTAAAAAGAGTATCGAATTAGCAAAAAATGAGTGAAAGAAAGGGGAGAAAAGACTTTACCTGCTGAATTTTGTTTGATGTTTTTCCTTTTGGTTTTTAGGATAATGTAAAATAATTCTTCTTATATATAAATTCTAGTTAGGGTTTGTAGAGAATCTTAAAATCTCACCTAATTTATCATTGAGCATTAAAATGATTATGTATTTGATGATAGGAGTTGTAGCAATCTATATTTAATCAACAATTGAATGAAATTCAAGTGCTAAAGTTGAATAGATATGGGCTAAGCGTAATTCATTTATTTTTTGTCGACAAATCCTTTAAATTATGTTCAATTAACGATCAAAATGCAGGTTGTGTAGCCGATATTTTAAGGAAATTTAATCAAAGCTCTTGGCAAATGGTTAATCTAGAAAAATCAGTAATTTGCTTCAGTAAAAAAGTGAGAGCGGAGCAGAATTTTGAGATATTATTGTTGCTTGGACAACGATAAATAAATGACACCGCTATGTATTTGTGTTTACCGGTTGTTGTGGGATATTTTAAAAAAAGAAGCTAGAGTTAATAAAGGAGAGAGTCAAGACAAAAATAAAAAGATGGAAGACTAAAATTTTCAAGTATCGCGGGAAAAGAGAATATGCTTAAGTATGTACTAGCAGCGATCCCTATATATGCGTTGTCTTGTTTCCAATTCCGTGATGGTCTGTATAAGGAATTTACGTTCCTCTTTCAAAATTACCGGTGGGACACATAAATGATAATATTATTGTTCATCATGTATTCGTAAGATACTTTAAAACAAAAACTTTTGAGAAATTGGTAAGAAACAATAAAGTTTAAAGAGAATTTCAAAGTTACAACTTTAAAACAAGTAAAGAAATAAAACTTAAAATAGATTCGAAACAACAAGCAAAAAAAAAATTCAAAGAAAAAAATGAGTCCACAAATTACACATGAGATTATTCCCCTCAAGTTTTTGAAGTTGATGGAATATATCCTTTAGGATAGAATGATCTTACTCACCGGTGTATCAATATTTAAATTCACGGTGTCAGGGAACCACCCAACAAAAATAAAATATACTTAGAATGCTAGATTTATTAGCAGCAGAGGTCAAGAAATTCATTGTTAAAAAATAAGAGGAAACCCCATATTTATAGACAACAAAAGGATATGTGAATGAGTGCTTATTGTGCCTTATAAAGATCACAACCTTTTGAAAAAAATCACTATCTTACAGAAAAGTTGCAACTCTTCAAAAAAGTCAAAAATCTTCAAAAAAGTCGCAACTTTTCATAAAAGTCACAACTCTTGGGAAAAGTCACGACTCTTCATAAAAGTCACAACTCTTCATTTTCCACTCACACTTTTTAAAATCCCACAAATATTCACATGAAAAATACAAGAGTTAAATATGATTTTTATATCTAAAGATATCCACGGTCTCAACATCTTTGGTCTTGGATTCATTTTCATTAGTAAAAGAATATTCATGAGTAATAGGTGCACAAAGACACAACCTCTTATTAATAGGAAGAACATATGAAGAGTCATAAAATTGTTGGGAAAAAACTCTAGGCTGCAAATACATAATGAAATAGAGTAATATTAAAAAAACATAGCAAGTATTACACTGTGAGATCAATTTTAAACAACAAATATAAAATCAGGTTGAGGCATCTTCATTCCCGGAAACTGGCATGACTCGAGAATTAGATAAAGCTAAAGCTTTATTTTTCATCTCAAAACAATATCAATCAAGTCGTAACACACAACTAAAACACTAGTTAATAGATCACTCTTCTTTCTCTTTAATATCATCAAATTATATATGTACGTTGATGGTATCAAGCAATAAACGAGAATTAGTAATTAAAAATAGGGATATGAAAGCAAAGAGGTGGCCGTTTGTAAATAGGTTCCCTTTTTGGGTACAGTTAAATATCACTAATTAATTTTCCAGATAAGGAACAATTTCTGTAGAGATGGTTATTTTTTAAGTTCATCTTTGATAGTCTTTTCTAGCAATGATTATTTAGTTTATGATATACTCTAGCAATATGTTGAAATAATCATGATTGTTGAAGCGATTGCTATTAGAATAACTCTTGAATATGCTGGTGTCAGGTTAGAAAATCTCCAAATAGAGTCAAAGTGGCGTATTCTTTTTTTATCATATCACTTCATATGTTGTGTTCAGATATGAATAAGTATTTTGTAATGTTCAGATGCGAGTAAGTATTTTGTAATGTTTAAATGTTTTCACCTCCTTATTTCTTTACATTCATTTGGGTATGTATTTTTATATATTGCAATCCTTTCAGTTCAGTTATTTGTTATCCAACTATGTTATTTTTATATACTCATACATTCAATGTATTGATATCATTTGACTTGCATCTTTTATGATGCAGATTCAGGTATTTAGGATCTTCAACTGGAGTTTTATTGAGATCACTTTATATGTTTGTTAGCTTTTGAGTGAGGCCTCCTCTCTTCCGAATGACTCTATCTTTTATGAGTTGTTAGTAGTAGGTTTTTAAAGTGTCGTGTCTTGTCTCGATATTCGTCTTTATAGAGGCTCTATAGATAGACAATTTTGCAGAGTCTTTCGGTTTTAGATGTTTTATTCTCAATATATATATTAAAAGAGTTGTGAGAATCAGTAAACTATTGTTAAACATTTTTTCAGTTTGATGTTTGTGTATGCTTGAATTAGTCTTTCGCTTGTAGTCAACCAACAAGAGGATTCGCTTGAGGACTAGCAATAGTTCTCGAGTGCCGATCACATCCAGAATGTAGGCTCGGCTCGTGATACTATACTTTCTAAACATATTTAGTGAACCTACGAAAAAATTCATGATTAGTTCTCATAGACAGGGTTAGCTCTATGACTTACAAAATAAGGCACTTGCTATAGGCCCCGAAATCATTTTTTAGAGATAATAAAATTATTATAGGTATTTTAAAATAAAATAAAAATTATATTGTCTGTTTCTTTGTTTAGTTTAATATACAAAGACTCCATATGCACCACTTTTTTGAACAGGTAGAAAGTGATAGCAAAAGAATCAATTTGCTTAGTATTAACTTCTCATCCTAATTTAATAGAAGGAAATAAAAATTCCTTCAAAGACTCCAAATCTCCATTATAATTCAACGTACTTCTATTACGGTATACATTATTGCTTTTTGACTGATTATTTATCTTCAATGCAATGAAGTCTAGTCATCATGATCAGTCAATCACAAAGAAATTGCAACAATATTTTACTTTTAGTTTCAAATAAATTTGTTAGGTAAAGTTTCATTTTGTGCCGTTCTATTTAGATTATATTTTTTTTATAAATTCATTCTATTTTTCAATTGAGAAATAAGTCCCACGTTTGTAATTAAAAAGTTGATTCTAGGATTTTTTTTTAATAAAATTCCATAAATATGAGTTTGTTTACGAAAAGGGTTGTAGGATCACAATGGGCTCGTTATCAGATTAAGAAGTTAAAAGAGACAATCTGATCTCAAAGTTAGTTAGATGAACTCCACTAATTATCAGGTATCCTCGTATAGGTAGAGGGGCTGTTTTTGAAAGAATCGTAGCTCAAGTGCAGCAATTTCAGGTATAAAGAAGAAGAAAAGAGTAGCGAAAACATAACAACTTATAAGAGAAGCATTGTAAAGCCTATAAAAAGAATTACTAACAACAACTAAATAGTGCAGTAGCCGAAACAGATGATGATAGATATAAAAAATTAGAACTACGAAATTGTGTACAAATTCAAGCATGTGCCGGTAACCACAACAATTCCCCTTTTTTGTTTCTAATTCTTTCAATGCTCTTATGTTGTAATTCTGCTACTGTTTATTTCGCGTGATTGTTTGCCCCGGTTATCATCTATAGTCCCTTAATCTTAAAAAATCAAATAAGGGTACAGTCTGCATAAACACTATCAGACATAGTCCCGCAACCTTTCAAGGTAGTGTTAATGGTCTCTCTACTCCATCCCAAGTATGTTAAGGACGGCTAAAAGCTGCGTTTAAGGCCTTAAAACAATACACAAAGCCAGCATGCACATTAGAAACTTAAACTACCGGCATTCATGCCAAGGAAGTTATTTTCAAACCAGCACAGATAAATTCAGGCAGCATTATTAAGCAAACACAGATATAAATGCATTTTGTGTCTAAGTCGCGTTCTGTCTCTTTGAAAATTATCATTCATCCAAGTATAAATGGACTCAGAAATCTGCAGAACAAGTTTCCCATGGCAATTGCTAATATTACAGGTTCAGTGAGCTATCAACTCAAAATCTTCTATTCTTCAATCTTCAGAGCCATCAATTTATTCTTCATGCCTCCGTCTACAATTACCACCTTCTTGCTCTGACATTTCTCCTTTGCTTGGGTCCTCCATGCCTCTTGCCATATTTCCTTCTTCATGAGTGATAGATGCACGAAGATACAACTTCTTCTTATAAGGAAGAAGAGATGACAAGTTACTAGACTGCGTGGCAACAACTCCAGGCTGCAAATACATGATCAAAATAGAGTAAAATTAAATTACAAAGCAAGTATTACACAGTACGACCAATTTCAACAGCAAATAAGAGATCAGATTGAGACCTCTTCGTTCCCTGAAACTGGCATGATTCTAGAATCAACATTTCTCGAATGATATGTAGAGAATAGCAGAAGAAAAGTATAATTCAAGAAGCCTTCAACAACTCCATCCCAGGTTCATTAACACGGCCGCTAAAATTCATATAGTCAAACCAGTTGAATCTACCTCTAATCCGATATTGAAATAATACCCAAAAGCCAACGTATGGTTATGGCTCTCATGCCATGTAGAGAATAACAGAAAAAAGTATAATTCGAGAAGCATTCTGCTAGCCCAAGATCGTCAACTAAGATCGGAAGATTCAACTAAAAAAGAGGAAGATAGAAATGAGAACTTGTTTAAGAAGAATACTCTTTTATTAGGTTATTCTTGGTTTGCTTGGGTTGATTACAAATGTACAATATCATTCCATATTTATTCTAACCTATGGATTGTTCTAGCTACTACAAGCTCTAGACTATTCTATCATTTACTACAAAAATATCTTCTCTAGAATATCTACAAGAAAGATCTAGTGAAATTATCTTCTAGCACTTTCTCTAGAATATCTAGATATATCTTCAAGGTAGTTATTCTAAGTACTACACTAGACCATTCTAGAAACTATACTAGGAAAAAAATCTATGATATTCCAAAAATCAACTTTATAATTTTTCACATGATAGAGCAAAGAGTACCTCTTTTTATAAGGAAGAGACGAAGAAATACTAGACTTGCGAACAACAACTCCAGGATGCAATACACGATGAAATAGAGTAATATTAAAAAAACTAAGGAAGTATTACACAGTTAGATCGATTTTCAAAGATATTAGATGACCTCTTTGTTCTTGGAAACTGGCATGATTCCAGAATCAGCTAAAGTTAAAGTCTTTCTTTCCATCTCGAAATCAATTAAAGCACAACTAAGTCGCAGAACACAACTCAAACACAAGATAACATTCCTCTAGTACCACCCTACAACCAAAAATGTGAAACTATCAAATATAATACGCAAGAAGAGAAACAAAACATTCATACTCGCAATAAAAGACATGAAAGAAGTAAAACAAATATTTTATCTAACAATTCAGTACAATACAATAGCTAATGAGTAAATTCAACTAGGATCGGATTGAGGCATAATTGATTGATTGAACATATATAGATCCGATATCAGGTAACAACAAAACCAAGATTTATCACTCATCAAATCGTATATCAAAAAATAGAACTTCACCTGATACAAAATATCAAAAACACCCCAACTAAAAAGGAACAATTTCTCGGTTCTTAAACAGTAAAAAGAGTATTGAATGAGCAAAAAATAAGTGAAAAAGGTAGAGAAAAGACTTTACTTGCTAGTTAGGTATTTTCTGAATTCTGTTTGATTTTTCCTTTTGGTTTTTAGTATAATGTAAGATAATTCTTCTTAAAAATAAATCATAGTTAGGGTTTGTAGAGAATCTTAAAATATAATTACCAAATTTATCATTGAGCATTAAAATGATTATTTAGTTTATGGTAAGAGGTGGATCAATCTATACTGAATCGACAATTGAATGGAATCCAAGGGCTAAAGTTGAATAGATATTGGCTAAGCGTAATTCATTTATTTTTTGTCGATAACTCCTTTAAATTATGTTCAGTTAACGATCAAAGTGCAGGTTGTGTAACCCGATATTTTAAGGAAATTTAATCAAATCTCTTAGCAAATACTTAATCTAGATAAATCAACAATCTGCTTCAGTTTAAAAGTGAGAGCGGAGGAGAAAGTTGAGAAACCGTTATTGCTTGGACAAGGATAAACAAATGACATGGTTATGTATTGTGTTCACCGGTGTTTGTGGGACGTTTCAAGAAAAGAAGCTAGAGTTTATAAAGGAGAGAGTAAGACAAAAATAAAATGATGGAAGGCCAAAATTTTCAAGTAGTGTGAGAAATTAGGTTGTGCTTAAGTCTGTACTAGCTGCGATCCCTACATATGCTTTGTCTTGCATAGTTGATTGATTGATTGAACATATATCATCATATTATCATATCATATCATCATATATTATTATAAGTGGGAAGAATGTTAGGCAAAAGTTAAATTATCATTTTTCCCCTATACTAAATCATTATCAAAGTAATTAAGTATTAGTAAATAAATTGCTAATTATTTTACAATCTTAATTACTCTTAATTTTTAAATTTGAAAAGTCTTACCCCTATCCTTACATTGAAATTGTAAAAATCATCTAATTGGTTATTAGTAAAATATTAGTATATAAAGTATGTACTAAAGTTTAATTATCTTAAAGACACGTTTTCCTATTATTATTTTTTTTAAAAATAGTTTAAAATTTTTGAAAAGTTTATCGCTTAGCCCTATTTATAAATTAATTAATTGTTAATTTGTTTACATGTGTTGATTTATGTCTCCTTAATTCTTATTTTGATGCTCTAATAGGTGAGAAAATTATTTTAATGAGAAATTTATTTTTTTGTAATTTGTTCAATTTCTTGGACTTATTTTTTAATATTAAATATAAAACTTTTGATTAATAGTATCTTAATTACAATGTATAATTATTTAGTTTCAGCCTTCAGTAATTCTATCGTATAATAATGAAGACATATTTAAATGATGCAACTGAAAAGGCATAACAGATGAGGGAAACAAAGAGTCTCATTTACTATAATATATTGTGTGTATTCTATGTTAATCATTCAAAAATCTAATCTACCATCTTTCTAATTTCATATGCTCATTGGAGATACTCCAATAAGTATGTATTCTTTCTTCTTTTTTTTTGTTTCATCTTTGCACATTCTAATTTTGTAGGTACAAAGAAAAATGACATTATCAAACTATTTAGTTCGGTACACACAATGATTGATCATGTTATATGTCATATCTTATCAAATGAATTTACATAGATGAACATTCTGAAAACTCTTATGATTTCTTTGATATGCTTTTCTTTTTCGATAGCGGGATGATGGTATCAGAACCTTTGATTATAAGAACACCCTGCTAGACTTAAAAAATAAGTAGTTAGTGTAATTTTGTACATGGCCATATTATAGAAATCATTCTCTTAATACTTGGTTCAATATTTTTATAATTTTCTTAAATTGTCTTTTGAGTTTGGAGAAATAACTATTGATAGAGTATAAATTGGTACTAATGCGACGTGTTGAAAAAGATAAATTGTTTGGTTAATTATACTTCCATTTAAGGTTTATTTGTAATTTATTTTTATTTTTTAATTCACATATTACAAGTACAAGAAAATTTCAATTTTAGAATACTTTTATAGATGTCTTCGATTATATTCACATTCAGTAGTCTACAACCTATATATATTAAACTATCCCCAAGAAAATATTTATGATATACTTGTACTAGAGTCTGGTAGATGATTTTTTTTTGATGATATAACATATACTCGTAGAAATTGTTTAAATACTTTACTTTGGTCATCCTAATTACAAAGATTGTTTGATTGCCTAATGTTGTACCTATTGGGATATGATTATTGTGTTATATTTCATTGATATATAATTAAATTTTGAACAATGCCAAAATTTTGTTTTTACATTTACTAATAAAAGAGGTTGTAACTTTAAATCTGACAAAGGGTGTGTGTATGTGCATAAATGATATCCCTATAACTTTTTAATGGGCCTATATATTTTAAATATATCTATTACAAATAACTTTACTTTTTTGTAGCTTTACATCATGAATTGATAATGATCATTTAAAGAAAAACATATATTGATCACATAGCTACATTAGTTCGATAATATTACTTTCATTTGATAAATCTTTTTAATATAGTTGAGGCTATAGAAGAAATCAAATAGGCATGAATTATTTGCACTTTGATCCGACATTGATCATATTCACATGTAGACAATGTTGCTAAAATGTAAAAGAAACTAGAAAATGAAGTTGAATGTTCTGTATGCTAATTGATTTACATAACTAAATTTAGGTGTTCAAACAATCCATTGTGTGTTTTGTATGTTTCATCAGTTCAATTTTAGTTTTACTCATCACAAACATATTACCACATTAATTATATAATTTTAAGATATTGAACTAACCAGCATGGGATTCACATGTAACACATGTGCTCAGAGACTAGTGTGTATATATATATGTATATATATATATATATAGTTTATTGATAACCATTTTAAGAATATGTGTAACAAAAAAAGATGATGGCTAAAGAGGAAAAGATAATGGAATGAATTTAAAACTATAGTATATAATTATTAATATTATTAGTATATAAACAGAAACTGCATGATAATTAGAAGAATGAATTAGTTTTTTGAAAAATCCTTTTGAAAGACCAAATTATTTTGTGTTGTCCTCCAATTAATTACCATATCTCAAATAGATAATTCATACACTTTTATTATGAAATGAAGAATCGAATACGATTTGATGTTTAAATTTTTCCCCGAAAGAAAAACAAAAATAACTTTAACAAATAACAAAATATACTAAAATGTTTAGCGATCATTCAAGAAATTAACTCATGAGTACTATTTCGATGCTCTAAAATCCCCCAACAATGTCAGACTATTTGCTCAATAGTTTGCTACAAAAAATTTACACCTATGAACAAAGGCTTGTGTATAAAACCTTCCCTCATTCTACTACACTTATTGATTTGATATAAAACATATGGTGCAGGTAAAGTTTTTCTTACGAAATGGTGTATAAACAACATTATTTTTGTTTGATTAAGTAAATATGGAGACTGATTCAGTCCCCCCAAAAACAGAAGGAAACAAATATTCCTGGAAATATAACTCATTCTTGAACAAAAGTAAATGTAGAAATCCTTAAATGTAATAAAAACATAATCAAAACATCCATCCAAGCAATGATCACGTCCTGAAATAGACGTTATAGCAAAGGTAAAATAGAGAGTTATAATACCACATAATTGTTTCTTTCTCGCTTGTCAATTTGATTCTTCTAAGACAAAGATCAAGATCAACTAAAATCTTTGTAGACGATTTCTGCTTTAGGTGATGAACGCGGAAAATTTGAGATCTCAGTGAATATTTCTTCTCTTGTATCGAGAGGCTCCTCATCTAGAAATTGTCGATTGATTACCATTATCTCTAACACCGGGGAGTTGGCTAACAAATGCTTGATAAACTGCATCTCGGATGTACCTCCTATAAAGCTTCCGAGCTGAAATTCCACAAGGTGATTAAATGTCAGGTTTGACAAAGTCTCAGGTTGAAGAGATTCTTCATCTTCATCTTCATCAGTATCACTATCATCTTCATCAACAACCTAAGAAAGAAAACAACTATCAGATTATTAAAGATAAAAGAAGCACAACAAAGAACCACTAAATAAAATTAAAAAAATATCAAAGCACTACAAACCTGCAGTTCAAGATATTCAAGATTCGGGAAGCTTCTTAGTAAGCACATGATATACGATAGTTTATATGATTCCACAAGCAAAATGTCAGGCACGTCAAATCGCCTGACATTGTTAAGGTTAACTGGAAGTCTTCTTGGTACTCTATATCCTTCTTCAGCAACGAACTAAGAAAAAATTACATAAATTCAAGATTAAGTCAGCCCAAAAGATATTCAATCCATTGAAGTGTATAACAATAAAGACAGGGAGAAACATTTACCTCCGAATTTAAGAAGTTCAAGCTGAGTTGCTCGAGAGCAGAACAAGACTCGAAAATCTTTGCAAAATCAAGACTCTCTGTCTGCTCAATGTCACCTATCAGAGATGCTTCAACTAGACGAGGGACATTCTTTAGGCAAATAGAACTTATATCGCCTGAGAAACTGAACAATTTTAGCATAGGAGCATTAATTTCAATCATGTCTAAATCTTCTAAAATAGACATCTCCAATTTCTCAAGCAAGGGGCAATGAGATATCAAACTTTCCAGCAATTCAGAAGAAGTTGAGACTCCACATAGTTCCAGGCTGATTAACTTATCAAATCCTTCAAAGGCCGATGGATGAGAAATTGAACAAAAATGAAGATTTAGATGCCTCAGTTGCGAACATGTGAAAAGGGTAGATGGCACTGTGTATTGAATTCCCAATGGAAGGTGCAGAACAAGATGTTGAATGTGATTCCTCAGGAATAATATGAAGTTGTCAATTTCAGGAGACCTTTTTAGATGAACGATGTCGAGGGTAAACTTAGTAATGGGCCCTTCGTGAAGGGTCAAGATCTGGTTGATGATCTCCCTAAATCTAACTGTAGGGTTTAAATCCTCTCTATTCCATAGAGACTCATCAAGGGTCAACTCCGTACGTCTACACCAGTGATACCTCCATTTCTTTGATAAAACACTTGTCCTCACAGCATCTTTGCAAGGCATACGTATCAGAATGACGTCGATTACATTATGGGGAAGATTGCTAATGATGTCGGGCATCATAAACCACTAAGGACCTGTATAAATAAACAATAATATGAGGTAAGAAATCTCTAAGCTAATTGGACAATACTCAAAACAATATCCAAATAATCTGGACGGAATTACTATTCACACTGTCAAATCAACACAAGGAGCATTTGAAACAATAATCACCAAGAACCTACAGAAATTTAATAATAATATAAAGCATGGAATCCTCAAAATATCTAGATAAGATATAAATATGCATTGTCATAGTTATATATATATATATATATATTTATATATATATATATGTATCAGGTAACACAATACTAATATTTATCACTCATTAAATCATATATAAAGATCCAAAAATAAAGAACAAAAAACAAAACTTCACCTAAAACAAAACATCAAAAACAACCCCAATAAAAAGGAACAATTAAATGTCACACACACACACACGTGTGTGTGTGTGTATATATATATATATATATATATATATATATATATATATATATATAGAGAGAGAGAGAGAGAGAGAGAAAAAACATATGAGAACCTTTTTTTGAATTCTTGATTAGCAAAAAGAGTATTGAATGAGCAACAAATGAGTAAAAAAACCTAGACAAAAAAAGGAAAGAAAAGAGTTTACTTGTTGAACATATATAGATCCGATATCAGGTAACAACAAAATCAATATTTATCACTCATCAGATCGTATATTAGGTAAAGATCCAAAAATTGAAGAACAAAAAACAAAACTTCACCTGAAACAAAACATCAAAAAAACCCAAATAAAAAGAAACAATTAAATGTCACACACACACATATATAGGAATCAAATGAAACCTTTTTCTCAGTTCATGATTAACAAAAAGAGAATTGAATGAGCAACAAATGAGTGAAAAACCCTAGACCAAAAAGGGAAGAAAAGAGCTTACTTGTTGAACATATATAGATCCAATATCAGGTAACAACAAAATCAATATTTATCACTCATCAAATCGTATATCAAGTAAAAATCCATAAAGTGAAGAATAATAAAAAAAACTTCACCTGAAACAAAGTATCAAAAACACCCCAAATAAAAAGGAACAATTAAATGGCACACAGATATATGCATATATATAGGAATCAAATGAAAACCTTTTCCATGTTCTTAAACAGTAAAAAAAGTATTGAATGAACAAAAAATGAGTGAAAAAAAGGAGAGAAAAGACTTTACTTGCTAAATTTTGATTTTGATTTTTCCTTTTGGGTTTTCTGAATTCTGTTTGATATTTCCTTTTGGTTTTTAGTATAATGTAAGATAATTCTTCTTATACATAAATCCTAGTTAGGGTTTGTAAAGAATCTTTAGATATACTTACCAAATTTATCATTGTAAAATGATTATTTAGTTTATGGTAAGAGGTGTAGAAATCTATATTGAATAACAATTGAATGAAATCCAAGGGCTAAAGTTTAATAGATATGGCCGCTATGCGTAATTCATTTATTTTTTTGTTGATAACTCCTTTATAGTATGTTTAATTAACTATTAAAATGCAGATTGTGTTGTCAATATTTTAAGGAAATATAATCAAAGCTCTTCGAAAATGCTTAATCTAGATAAATCAACAATCTGCTTCAGTAAAAAAGTGAGAACGGAGGATTTTTTAGAGTTAGTGTTTCAATTAATTTTGAAACAAATTCATCTGTTTTGAAATAAAAAATTCATGAATGTGAGTTGTAATATTCATTTATTTTAATTCTTTGTTATAAACTTTTGCAATAAGTTTTTTTTAATTCTACGTTATGGGTTTTTGAAAGACAATTTTTTGTTTCCAATTGATGAACCTAATAAATTCTATTAATTAAAAATCTTTTTCTTGCAAAACTTTTTATCCTATAAATTGAGTTTCCTTTGGTTGAAAAAGAGAAGCATTCAAACAAAAAGTACTTTCCCTTGAAAACACTTGTGAGACATTGATCAAAAGGTGAAATCACCAATTCAAGAATAGAAGAGCAAAATTCTTGAATGCTACTTGTTTTGTGGCTTAGTTGAATTCCGAAGATAGAGTTGTTATTTATTCTTCCGATTGCTCGTGGGAGAGACTCCAACTATCTTCAAGAAACGTATTAACGTGCCTCTAAACCAAGCAAGTTTTATTTTGTATCTCTTGTAATTTTATCATTCTTGTCCATTTGTTCTAACAAATATTACATGATATCTTCACAACTAATAACTCGTGAAATCTACGTATCAAAATGATACAATTTCCAAAAGGATGTCCCCAGAAACAACATAGGAAATATTACAAAATCATATCCGAATGAAGTAGATGTCCTTTTATATTTACTACACCTCTGTATTTCTTTATTCAGTAAATTATCCTTTGGTTCTTTCCAAGGTATTTTAGACCCTTCACTAGACTACTCAAGTTTAATTCTATAGTCCACGGTCTTAGGTCCTATTTTGATCTTTTTGGGAATAGGAACTTCGACTTTGACTAGACACCCCCACACTTTTGGATTTTTTTCCCATTCTTCAACTCCATTAGATGGAGGTGAATATGGCACTAGTATGATGGATAATCCCTTTTTCTAAATATATTCCTGCAAAACGAGATTTGTACTCTCCATTCACTTTTTATCTTTTTCCCAACTGATTTTTATTTTCAAAATTACATTGCCTAGACATTTCTATTGTTACCATTCAGCAAATAGTCATGACCATATCTAATGCAGTTGTAGATAAAGTTTATGAGATACGTTTTCTACCACGAGATGGTGTTGGTTTCATATCATAAATATCACTGTAAATCAACTCAAGGGGTTAAAATTTCTTTCAACAAATTTATACGAATGTTAGTACACTTTGATTCAATACAAACTTGACATTTATATTTATTGCACACAAAGTTTTTGTAGTTGACATGTAACAAGTGTTGTTGTCACAAACAGTACTATATACAATGAGGTATATCAAGAAGGTGAGCAACGAAGATATAGTCGAATTTATTATATACTAAGATTATTTATCATTCTAATAAGGGAAAAGGGTCTGATATACCCCTCAACTTTATCATTTAGAGCTGATATACCCCTCGTTATAAAAGTGGCCCATATATACCCCTACTTGCAAACAAATGGCTCACATATACTCTTTTCCTCTAACGGAAATGAAAAAAAAAATAATTTTAATCTAAATTTTTATTATTTTTTTCTAAAAAATATAATCCCATATGAGTAAATTTAATCCTCGTCAAACATATTTTTTTTGACTTTTTTTTGTTTCAATGACTAAATTATATTATTATTTTGATAATCAAATTTATTTATGTTTCACTAATATTCTTGTAAAACTTATTATAGATGACCAAATTTTTTCTTCGAATACGAAATTAAATTACAATACACAAAAGAAAGAGTTAAAAAAAAATTTCTTTAAAGTAAGGAATGAAAGAAAAAAAACAAAATAGAATAAGAAACTCAAATAATTATAATAAAAGAAGTCAAAAAATAATTTTTGTATGAAAAAAATTAAAATATACCTTGAACTTTGATAGAAAAATCATATATACCCCTAAATAATTTTTAAAAAAAATTAGAAGTAACAAATATAAATTTAAAACTAATTTTTTAAATTCCGTTAAATGAAGGGTATATGTGAGTCATTTTGTAACGGCAGGGGTATATGTGAGCCGTTTGTATAACGGTAAGGGCATATATGAGTCACTTTTATAACGAGGGGTATATCAGCTCTAAATAACAAAGTTGAGGGGTATATCAGATCCTTTTCCCTTCTAATAAAGAATGGTAAATTCATTTTATTAGTTTGACAATCCAAGAATATAAAATTTAATAAAACATCAAAAAACACCCCAAAAAAGTAACAATTACATAGCACACAAGTATATAGATGTAGGAAACAAATAAGTGAATGAGTAAAAAAAACCTAAATAAAAACAATACACAAGCCACCACAATAGAGCCATCAACTCAAAATCTTCTTTTCTTCGATTTGGAGCCATCAAATTCTTCGTCATGCCTAGGTCTATGATTACCACCTCCTTGCTCTTTGACATTTCTCATTTCCCTAGGTCCTCCTTGCCTCTCGCCATACTTCCTTCTTTCACTGCTGTGATGCTCAGAAAATCTACCAGTGTGTATCGGCCCATCAAAGTATCCAACACCATCAATCCTCTCGTGATAATCTAAAATCTCAACTCTCTGCCTATTGATTCTAGTAAATACCTGATCAGGTGGACTTCTTCTGCTAGAAAGAGACCTCGGATGCCCGTACTCCTGTACACCATCCACATCCCTCATATCATTCAGATGACAAGCAGTATAAGATGGAGGGTCAGCTACACCTCCATATCTAATGATATGAGGTCACTATGGAGGTAGCTAATTATCATTCAGATTCCCAAACTGCAGCGGTACGTTTATGTCTAAAGTGATAATCAGCTACACCTCCATAGCTTTCAAAATGACTCCCATAATACCCGCCACGGCCCTGGCCCCAGCCCCTCCCTCTTCCACGCATGAAGTTCCCCCTTGGGCTATCAAATGAACGGTCCTAAAACCTATCTCGAGCAAATTTGGGACCATAACCATAGATTTCATCTCTGGAAAAAGCACAGTAATAAAAAGTCAAGAGTTGCGCAGCATGATTATAAAAAAAAAAAGAAGAAACAGTAGTAAAAAGAAAAATCACCTATTCCTTCATAGATGGAATTTCTCCTCCTCCGAATAAGAATACCTCTCTCTTCCACTTCTTGAAGACAGCGACCTACCTGCCCCAATAGGCCTCTGCTCATCATCACCGGTTGTTTCCTCTTTATCTAATATTGGACTTCGCAGATTAATGTCTTTACGAAGAATTTTTTCAGCTTTCTCATCAAAGCCATTAACATAATCATCATAAGACTTAATTTTTCCTGAATCCATCCCCTCATCCATCGGGTCTACTGCAATTGACTACATCAATGGTTCTCGGATCTCACCGTCTTCATATATGTCATCCTCTATGACACATCCCACACTCTCAGTGTCAACACGTCCCTTGAAAGCATCAGAAGCATAAAATTCTTCCTCTGTACTTATCTTTTCCCCATCATTTGCCGACCCCTCACCACTTGCAACCAAAACATCACCAAAAGCCTCCC